CACACCTCATCTGCAATAGTGGGTTGATGTTGTCAGTATGTTGTCTGGGCTTTTGGCCTTCATTTGCTGCTCTGTTTATCTGATTTCTATTTAGAATTGACTAACTTGGTCAGACCTACACCGAAGAGCAAGATATCACTGGAAGCCTCTGTCAGAGTACTCCTGAGTTCTTTGCTTTAATGTGAATATCTGCCAGCATGCACTCCTCTCCCTTCTTTGAACCTAGAGGATAGAGTATTGACACTTGCAGTTAATGAACAGCTCACATGTTGCTGTACACAGTCCAAGCACGCATCCCTCAGGGTTTACCTTAGGTGGCTAGAATATAACAGAATTTATATATAACATATATATTATATATCAACAAGATCTGCCCTCGAAATGTCAGCCTTGAAACAACGCGCGAACAATAATTATATTAAGGTCACCGGATCATGGTGGTGATGCGTCATCTATTGAAACAGACTGCACGGTCTTTAAGGCAACACAATCCAGAGCGTTCTGCTGTTCGGTTGCCACCTATGCAAAATGTAACGTTAATCGGGCTTAATGATATACTAAGTGACATATAAATCCGAACACCCAGTTTAAATGGTTTTATTGTGATAACATTTTGTATAAGTAGTTAATGAAGCATAATAAGTAAATGATAAAAATTTCAAAATGATTGCACTGCTTTAAAGCCCTTTGACCTTTAATAATGTGTGGATGCACCCTGATGTGCTACGCATGCTCCAACGCGCCTGCTTCTGATCAGGTGGTCAATGTCCTTCTGTGGTATCTCATTCCAGGCAACCACCAACTCCTCTCGAAGTGCTTCTAGAGTCTGAGGAGGACGTTGCAAATTGAGCAATCTCCTACCCATCATATCCCACACGTGCTCAATTGGGAATAAGTCGGGAGATCTTGGTGGCCATGGTAACAATGTGACATCATTATGTTGAAAGAAGTCTATTGTGACTCTTGCAACATGTGGTCGGGCATTATCTTGTTGGCAAGTTGGATCTGCCAGGGTGTCAAGATAGGGTAAAAGATGGCGTTCTAGAACTTCGTGGATATAACGCTGCGCGTTCATGTTATCTCTGATGAAGATTAAAGGTGACCTGGAACCATAAGCTATAGCACCCCAAACCATAACTCCAACAGTGTGATGAACATGTCTTTCAACAAAAAACTGTGGATTCCTCCTTTCACCACGTCGCCTTCTAACCCTGGCACGACCATCGTGCATGCCTAAACAAAATCGAGACTCGACACTAAAGACAATACTGTTCCATTCCTGATCCCAGAGTGACCGTTGTCTGCACCACTCAAGGCAATTACGTCGGTGTTCTCGAGTTAAAGGGAGGACCCAGTGTGGCCGGTATGAAAGCAAGCCAAAACTTCTCATTCGTCGGCAAACACTTCGCATGCCAATAGGTCTACCGTGTTCTGCAAACCATTCATTTGCAATGGACCTGGTAGTGGAGAAACGGTCCCTTAAGGCCAATAATCTTAGGCGGCGATCTTCATGGTCTGTTGTTCTACGGCGGCGTCCAGTGCCCCTTGCTCTTTGCGTACGGCCTTCTCGAAGCCATGCCTGACAACACCTAACCACAGTGTCTACACTTCTTTGCACTCTAACTGCAATTGCCCGAAAAGAAAGTCCAGCTTCCCGATGTCCTACTATACGGCCCCTATCAAACTCACTAAGTTGACGAAATCGTACAGGTCTCCGTACTCTAGGCATTGTAACCGATCGTAAAGGATGTCAAGAACCAAAATCCGCCAACGTTGATTCTTTACTGCGGCTGAAATATTCATTTTTAGAGCGTTAGTGAATTAAAAAAAAGCAGTATAAAAATCGGAATGTCCAACTGATAAGGCTGAAAATTTTTTCACTTGTTATTTACAGTAAGATAAATACATTCACCAACTTTTATTAAAATAAAACCATTTAAACTGGGTGTTCGGATTTATGTCACTTAGTATATTTAACTTCCATTATTACTGAACATTAGAACTTTGGTGGTTTCCTAACCTGATATGTTCATACGTACGTCCTGTTCCATCGTTATCACCTGCCATGTGGAATTTGCTTTCACAAGCAAAATGTAACTCTAGTCTACCATAGATGTACGTTACATAATTTCTATATGTTGTTAATGACAAATTGTACTTTAGCTGTCTCGTAACCTGTCATGTGCATATTATTGATCTGTTCGATGGCTATTCCAAAACATATGGAATTTGCTATCACAAGCAAAATATAACGCTAGTCTACCATAGATTTTCCTAATTTCTATATGTTGTTAATGAAAAATAGTACTTCAACTGTTTCATAACCTGTCATGTGCATATTATTGACCTGTTCGATGGCTATTCCGGACCATAAGGAATTTGCTATCACAAGCAAAATGTAACGCTAGTCTCGCATAGATACTAACGAGTCATGTGCAATCTGACAAAGATATTCCAAGGTTGTCACAAACCAAATGAAATTTTCTATCACAGACAAAATGTAACCCTAACCTCGCATGAGGTGCCTATTCTTTACCTAGTGATAATAAAAAGATATATATTGGCGGTTTTCTAATCTGACATGTTCATAATTACACACTTTTCCACGGTTATCACAAATCACGTGGAATTTGCCATCACAAGCAAAATGTAACGCTGGTCTCGTATAGATGTACCTAATCTCTGTAGTTCATTGATTAAAAATGGTACTTCGGCTTCTTCCTAACTTCTCATGTGCATCTTTACAATATCGTTCAATAGTTATCACAAACCTGACGGAATTTGCTATCCCAAGCAAAATGTACCGCTAGTCTCACATAGATGTACCTAATTTTTATCTGTTATAAATGAAAAATGCTATATCGCTACATTGCTATCACAAAACCAGATGGAATTTGCTAGCACACGCAAATGAGAAAAGATTGTTCATCATACCTTGTTGCTACGTTGTCTCAAACACTTTCAGTGTTGTTATTTGTGCAACGAAATTCAGTATTGAGTCATTTTTCCAAACATCTTCATTCGTCCTTGGTGTGGACTATCACAAGCTAGGTCCATGTTGCTATCCCAAGCAGCCGAGTCCAATGTTACAAGGTTATCCCAAACGTCTTCGTTCGTCCTTGGTATGAAGTTGGCTATCACAAGCTAGATCCACGTTGTTATTCCAAGCAACCGAGTTTAATGTTTCAGCGTTATCCCAAACGTCTTTGTACGTCCTAGGTATGAAGTTGGCTATCACAAGCTAGGTCCAGGCTGCTATCCCAAGCAACAGTGTCAGAACTTTATCCCAAACGTCATGCTAGGCACAAATTTGCAGCGCCGATGAGGCGTCTATACTAATATTCATTTAACTTGCACCTAAAACAGGTCGGTTAGCTGAAAGTTACCTGATGGTGACATCCCTTCAGAAAAAGAGGCCTGCACTCCACTTTCTAATTTTGCTTCGCGTCGAAAGGAACCTTCAGTCGGTATCTGGTTCGACAATGCACATCTATCGGCCAACCTTCTATCCTGCTTTCTAATTCTAAATATTCAGCGGATCCTCGACACTGCACTGCACATCAACGACGCGCGCCGATTAACGTCTTGACGGTTGGGCACGAGAACAAGGGATGAAGGTTTACGGGCGGCCAGAGGAGAGAAAGGTAGGGGGAAGGGGCGCGGTGCCACTTTCCTTCTCTACGTGCGCGCTTTGAAATCGTGGCGGTATGAGGGTACTACGATATGTATTCTAAATATTTACTTCGATGAGGACGGAACATAACTAATTCTATTGTACACATTTTTCTACGGCGGTGTTGTTGCTGAGTACATATACTTTCTGTATTTGGGAATGTATCTGCGGATTCAGTCCAAGTAGTTCTGGAAAGCTTGTAAACGACTGTGGTGTGATGCAACTGACTGATATTATTATCGATATTATTTTCATCTTATTTTGTTTCCATAATCTTCTGATTTCTTGTGCAAGAGCTACATATGTTTCGATCCTCTCATCATATTTTGTTTTTGTCTTATGATCGCTTGGTACCGCACATCAAACCGGTAAGTTACAAATTGAGTTTGTTGATTACATAGTTATGTGAGGTCCATTAGCAACAATTGTATTGTCTGTGAGGATAGGGTTTTCCCAGTATAATTTGTGTGTTGCGTTTTCCATTACAGTACCTGGTGTCCATTTATAGCATGGTTCTTTACATGATGGCCCATGTTCGTTCGCTAGCGCCTTCTGTATTAATTTTCCTACAATATGTCTCGCTGTGCATTCCATGGCTACAGATGTGATGTGATTTTTTGCATTTATCTGTTCAAGGTGATTTCCTTCTGACTGAAATATGATATCTTTATGCAGCCAATCATATATTGCTGTTATGTTTATGCTTTCATCTTGTTGTATATTCACATGTCTTCTCTGAAGCGCCTTACTTCACCGTTCTTGATTTTCGGCTTCAGTGTAGGTTATGTCCGCATGAAGGTTGAGTAGTGTATAGTTTTTATCAACTTGAATTATTGCTGTATTAAGCGAGCTTTCTTTTCTTGCATAGAGATATTTTATTATTATTATTGTTATTATTATTATTATCACTATTACTGTTATTATTATTACATGTTGCTGTTATTATTATTACGTAGGATATTAGCCTCCTAAAGTCGATGATTACCAAAAATCGTAAACTTATTACGGAAGGTATGTTACTCTCAAATTCAAGCTATTCACTATTATTCACAATAAAAAAGGATTCATTTTGTTAATATTAAAATTCATTATTGAGACACATATCCAGGTTGCATTTATTTAATTGCATTCCCCTTTTTTGTTTAATATGTTGAGCGACCTTTTTGAAAGGTTGATATAAGCTACTTATGGGTTTTGATGTTTAGTGATTGAGCTATTGGGAATTTTGTCTTGGAGTTCAGCAGCCCACTCCTCCGCCTTTTTATAAGAAGAGTATCGAATGTCACGTAAGAAGCTATCATTTCGCATCCACCTTGATGTTACTTACCTGAGCGGCTTTGCGAGCGAGGTGAACCTGTCCACAGCAATAGCTACCATGACAAGCACTGACACACAGCAGAGGGTGATAACAACCCCATAACTAAAGAGACACACCCTCACGCTAGTAAAGTGCTGTGCCCATCCTCCAAGTTCTAGATACATTCCTACAGGCATGTACATCCCGATACCCAGGTCAGAGGTCGCCAGAGACATGAAGAGGTAGTTGCTAGGAGTGCGCAGTCGCTTGAAACGACACATGGCCACCAGAAAGAGGGAGTTGCCTATCAGGATCATCGGGGAGAAAAGGAACACCTGGAACAAATTACATAATTACGTACATTATATAGTGAGCTATACCAAGCATACATTATTGGGGTGGAAGGTGGTTAGTAGCTGTAACATCTGAAACTTATCATGTTGTTTTCATGCTGATAATTTTCCATGTCTTTGGTCTTTAAATGAAACAACACATAGGTATATAGTATTAGCTGCTAACTGACTGACGTCTTAGCTACCTGAATGACCTTTTTCCAAAGTATAATCAAAATTTAAGATGGCAATATATTTTATATTCATCTGCCTTTCAGACGACAGTTCATTTGCTTCCGCCGCTATGGGGGGGGGGTAGGCTGGTCGTCTTTTAGGAGCAAGAATAACTACCCCAAGCGATTCTACACTTTTTTGGGTGTACGGTTCTATTTTTACTTCCCACGCCTGCTAGCGGGGAAGTATTGTAATACCGAAATTTTTCGAAAATGAGAATATTTTTTTAGATATCATATGACGTATGCATCACGAAAAACTGTCACTCATTTCCATCTGCCTGTCTGTCGGCCTGTCCGCTAGTCTTATAACCGCCTATAACTTAAGAAGTACCGCTCGCATGTTGATGAAATGTTTACACAATATTGCTACTATGCCAAGGCTTTTGAAAATAGGTCAAATGGCGACGGAGGGAAAGGCCAAAAAATAAAAATCGCTCAAACTTTTTTTACTTTTCTCATCATTTTCGGAAGATAAAGTGTAGGGGTTTACATTGGAGGTTAGGGATTGCAGGTGGTGGGTGGGGTTATATCTAATTTTTTTCTATTTTTTATACGCCTCCAACCCCAGCAATGTTACACACATATTACGCATATTTAGGTCACCATAAGTGTCCCCGTACATTTACCCTCAAGGGAATGCTATTCTCAGCTCTAGGCAGCTAACGAGAGTAAAGCAGGTCAGAGGTCATGTAGGCCGACCTATCCGAAATTACCTCTAATTTTTCATTATTACGGCACTGCTAGCTAACGTATATGGAAACGTACGTAGAGCTGACTGGCCCTTGGGGGCACCAGGCAGCACTCCACCCCCTTGTATGCATACCCTGCTCGGCCAAGGGACTCTGGTCCAGTCGACCGTCTTTCCTCAGTACTCATGGGAACAAGCATGGGAACAAATGAAATTAAAAAGAAAATCCAAGGCTGTAAGGCCAAAACAACGTGGCCAATATGACCATCAGGTCGAGGGGCCAGCTGCCCATCTAGTTAGGCCGTCAAGGGCCAAGGTGGAATAGCTAGAGAAGCCAAAGAGCTCCTTCAGTGACAAATCGCTGGAGGAGGACCAACTGATGACTGACGACGAAATCCGTTTCGAAACAGAGAATCAATGAAATGATGAAGAAAGGCTTGAATTACACACAAGAAAAACGAGCCGTAATCAGGGACAACTTCATTAGATCGCAACAAAAGGATAATGCTCCGGAAGGCCAGGAAGCTCGAAAACTCTTGACCAAGGGACATAATGCCCAAAAAAGGTCAAAACACTGCTGCTGTCAAGGTGGTAATTGCTGTGGAAAGCTTCCCAGCCAAGGCAATGAGCCCAGCTCAACTCGAGGCTCTTGAAGGCCATCTAATGGAGGCGTACGAGAAAATCCCTGCAGATGGAGCTCAAGCACGCTTCCATAAATGCACGCCTAGACCAGGTATCCTCGTTATAACGTGTGTGGACGAGGTAAATGTCTAAGAGTGTTAAGGGAGGATGACCTCTCGAAGCTCTACGTTGGCTCTGTCTTCATACCAGACGAAAAAGGCAAAAGACCAGACGCGAGCAGCATCCTCACCCAACTGAGGGTGGAAACAAGGGGCTCCGCAGAAGCCTTTGGACGGTGCTCATCGATGCGTCATCTAAGAAGGGACCTTCTCAATGTGCAAGTCCGTCGAGGAGATACGCAAACTGGATATGTGTCCCTACCTGTTAATCGGCAGGGTGAAATACCAGCTGAAGAAGCAGAGCCCCACGGTACCCAATGGGTGCTTAGGCCTTAAGGCCTTCTTGGTAGTTAGAGTATAAAAAAAAAGACAACTGCCCACAGATAACAAGGCGGGGGACAGTCGCTCAGAGCCAGTTATCGTGGGGACTCAAGTGGAGTCAGACACTAACCGACAAAATTTAAAAGGCGTCAGTCCGCTCTAAAGACCATCACCGGAGGAGCGAACTGACGTCATAGAGGTGGAGCCTGTCGAGACAACGCGCAATCCACCCACATAATAGAAAAGGGGGAACTGAGGTTTCCGCAAGTAAATCTTTCATCGCGCAAAGCCCGCTTCGGCCATTTTTTGTAGGAGATTCGAAAAAGAAGGCATAGATGTTGCCGTTTTGCAGAAGCTTTGGTTATTCAACGGAAGGGCGTCGGGCCTAAGCCCCTCAAGGGGTAAAATGTTATACTGTACAGAAGGTCAAAAACTAAGAGCATACGTAGTATACAGTAGGAAAAGTAAAGGGCACACCGATTCCGGGGCTCTGCTAGGCGACTTTGTTACAGCTACCCTACTACATCAACGGAGGAGGGGCAGATGACATGGATTGCGTTACGCCTACTTTCCAGGAATGGAAGCTGTTTGCCCACCACAATGGTGGGATGCGATGCGAATATGCACCACACCTGCTGGGGAAGCAGGAACATCAATGCAAGGTTTAAGTCACTCTTGCATTAGACGTGACAGGTTTTTAGTATCCAATATAGGGAGTAAATCTACTTTTATAACAGCGGTTCGTAAAGATGTCCTAGATGTGACACTGAGTACGGTCGCGTACAACGTAGAAGTTTGAAATGCCAAAAGGAACTCGTGGAGGAGGTATTTGCAAAGAGCTGGAAGAAGGGACAGAAACATCCCGAATACATAGGGTGCTGTTCAAGGACGGTAGTACTTTGGCGGATGTAGGTCTCACCATCAGGTTTTCTTTAAATATATATATTCATTTTGTATAATTGCTCCAATAAACATTATTGTTATTATTACTATTATTATTATCAAAAGTGATGGTACCTACACAAAATCAGTCGACGAAAGTATGGAATTGCTGACAGAAGCACACATTCCAGGATCATCGTTAATATCGTTTAGGAGAGACAATGTCCAGAGCCGGATAGAAAAACTAGCGAGGCCTACCGCTGACGACTGGAGACTGGCAACGACGATAGCAAAGTCAGTTGGGCTATACATAAATCCAGGACATTCAAATCCCCAGGAATAGATGTCGTGTACCCTGTTCTGTTGCAAAAAGGACAGGAGGTACGTATTTCGCACCTAGTTAAAGTCTTCAAGTCTTGCTTGTCCTGGAAATATGTTTGCTATGTGTGGAGGAAGGCAAAGGTATTATACCTGTTTAAAATAGGTAGGGTATCAGACTTAACGACCAAATCATATAGGGCATGCTTGACATTGTTCCTTCTCAAGATTTTGGAGAAACTGGTAGAGAGGTACATCAGAGACGAAGCACTGGAGGCCTGACCCTCTCAGTATCCATCAATATGCATACCAACCAAGAAAATCAACCGATTTGGCTCTGGATGACTTATGCAAACTGCTATCTAGGGCTTCAGATGACAGGGAGATAGCAATAGCAACATTTCTAAACATAGAAGGTGCGTTTAACAGTCCAAAAACTCAATCGTTGGTGAATTCGTTACAGCACAGGGGGATTCCAGCCATCGTATGCCAATGGATAGACTCCAACCTGAAAAATAGAACCGTAACGTCTGTAGCAGGGGATACCACCAATGAAGCGAAGGTGGAGCTGAGATCTCCTCAGGGAGGAGTGCTATCTCCCCTTCTATGGGCAGTCTTGATAGATACACTTCTTCAAGGACTTACCGCCGAAGGTTTTCATTGACTGGGGTATGCCGACGGCACCATAGTCGTAGTTAAGGGCCGATTTTCAAGTTCCATTTCCGTATGCTGAAATATTGTCGACATGTGGTGCACGACGGAAAGCTTAGCTTTAAGTCCACACCAGACAACCGTCGCCACTTTCACACGAAAGCGGGTGCTAGAAGGTCACACGCCAGTAACCCTCCATAGTGCAGATATCCCTAAGCCAGTGAGGCAAAATATCTTGGAATCATTTTTAACAAAAGGTTAACATGGAACTCTCATATCAACAGAACAGCACAGAAATATAAAATAGCCCTAGGATGGTGTAGACAGATGTGCGGGATAAATTGTTGAGGGTTAAACTCAAAGATGATCTTGGGGTTATACACGAGGGTGGTGATAACCTATGGATCAGTAACATGGTAGACAAATACTACACAGTCGGGAGCGGTAAGGCTATTAAGTGGCGTACACGGGGGCCAGCACGCCACGTCCATTGTGGGGTTGGAGGTCGTTCTCGACCTACCACCATTACACATATTTATTCAAGGTAATACTCTTCCCGTGACTCACATACTAACTCAAGGCCAATCACCGATCAGTCGTCAGCATGGAAAAGGCCATCGAAAACTGTACACGGAGTTGAAGGCATTTACTATATTGGTAATGCCCATGGACACAGCTGGCCTTGCGTGCAATTTGATAAAAACTATCAAACAGTAGTACTAGAAGGAAAAGCATGTCAGAATTGTCCTCCTATGCATGCCAAAAGCTACCGGTACACAGACGGCTAAAAACTGAGATCTCTATAAGTCTAGCTAATAATGCTACAATATTTCAGGCTGAAATAACGGCCATATAAGTCTGCGCTAATAAGGAATGGGACTGCAAATCAGTATATCGTCATCTGCCCAGACAGCCAGGTAGTCAGAAAGGTATATAGTTCATCGTAAATGTCGTCTAAGCTAGTATGGGGTTGAGTGAACACTCTCAAAGAGCTGGGAAACCGAAACAAGGTAACATTGCTCTGGATACCAGAACATGAAGGGCACAAAGAAAATAAAAAGGCGGATGAATTAGCCCGACAGGGTGCGGCTTATCGCCTTATAGGTCCAGAGCTTTTCTGAGGTGTGACGAGAATACACACTAAACAGTCCATAAAAAATTGGACCA